ATTCCACTGAATGGATGTAATCAACGATTAACTTCCTCTAACAATTTCAAAACATTTAAGATCATGAAATGAAAATTAACGTACGGTCGATGTCTCTAGTTCCTTACCTCCTTCACAAATAAAGGCATTACCAGGCTTCAGCTGAACTCCCTCTGGACAAAAACATTGATGTCCACTCGGATTTGGAAGACAAAGATGACTACAGCCTCCATTTAGTTGAGAGCAGCTTGTTGATCCTAGAAAAATGCGTAAAGTTTTAACTGTGATCAAAGCTTTGTGTAGACAATGTCACTTTAACTAGCAGACGGTTATGCCGTGTTCGGAGAACAAAAGGGGATTCCATTCCACCTCCAACCCTATCTGCTCACGTATGTGAATGTTATGTATACGCAGTCAAATATTTCAATACCGTTTGAATAGCCCTTGGTAATTAAATTGACACGAGAATCATTTTCATGGCAAAAGGTCATGACAACGCCGAGCAAACATCGAAATTCATTTTATTACGATATGGAAATACTTTACTAGAGTCTAAATTAAACCTGTCATCAAGCCAACCAGGTCATCTTCGTAAAGGTTTCAGCAATAGAATTAGCCACTCCAGACTGTGCACCCACCTGTGATTGTTTTTGCCTGATCATAAACATGCACTTCCATCGGCCTTCCCATTCCATAGACCAACACGTCACTTTGAGAAGATGTCAAATTGTACTTATGAATACTCTGACTGTTCCAGTCAGACCAGTAGAGAGTGTCACCAGAAAGGGAAAGTCCAAAGGGATGATGGTTGTAAGAAGACAAATCTAGAAGTAGTTCTCGGTTATTTCCTTGAAGGTTTGCCCTTTCTATCTTATCGAGTTTTGCATCGCACCAATACAGCAGCTTATTCTGCGAATCTAGAGCAAGTGCATTAACCCAGACAAGTCCAGAGCTTACAATAACTGTCCTGGCAGACCCATCCATGTTAGCTTGCTCAATCTTTGGTGATGATCCCCAATCACTCCAGTACATTTGTCTAAAATAAATGTTTCACAGTGTTCACAATGTTCTCACTGTGCTTTATCACCATGTAGCAATTTATCAATGAAAAACTTTACTTAGTTATCATTATCATCCATTCCCCAACTTTGGGGTCTTTAGGCAAATAAGATAAAAAAAAAACAGCAATATCTTCAATGATAACTTTCATAGCTTCAGTATTCCTTGCAATAAAGGTATATTATTCTTAATTATTATCTGTTCTTTGAAGGAAACAGCTTTCTTCAAGATTCGCTCTCGAAGACTTTCTGTTTCTCGATACAAACAACGTCCAAGGACGAATATTGCGCCAGTTGGAAGCTATTATACTAAAATTGGCGTGTATAGAAAAGCAAAATTAGAATGACGTAAAAGCTTTCTCAAGATCAACGAAAGTTCTAAATGTGACAACCCTCCCTTTTCTGATAGCTGGAAACTTTCCAGTTCTAAAGAACTATTTTTCTGCTGTATGCCATTCATTTGGGAAATATCAAGACAAGTTTACTGCAAATTGAATTAAAAGAACAAAAGCTTTGATTACCTCTCAGGTATATCTAGAATTATAGCTCTTGGATTTTCAATCCCTGTTGTGATAAGGCTTTTCCGAAATGATCCATCTAGTCGCGCTACCTCAAGTTTGCTAGTTCCAGTATCAGTCCAGTAGAGAATCCTTCCGATGTAGTCTACGGCAAGGCCATCTGGTGTTATCACGTCAGTGTGCGCTATGATCTCAACTGACGATCCGTTTGGAAATGCTCTTGCCAACAGTTTCAGGGTCACATCTGTCCAATAGATTTTACCCTCAACTGGGTCGTAGTCAACAGCCACGGGCCTGGAGATATTTCTGTTGATTTGAAGCAGATAGCAAGGTGTGTTCGCCACTGCTAAAGGAACCTTGTAAATTTCACCATGATTCGCTTCGGCGAAGAGCAAAAAAAGTTCGTCGCTTGTCTTTTGGAACAAAGCTTTAAAGCAAAAAAGAAACAACAACAATAAAAACAGCAAATAAATAAATAAAAGCCAGAAATATGTTTCTGATGATTAACCACGCTTCATACCTTATTCTGTGAATAAAGTTCACTCACGAAACCGGAAAAGGACTTGTAGGAAATCCATAGTACGGTGTACATACTGACCATAACCTACACCTTGTTGCTCTCATTTTTACTTTTTTTCGAAATTTGGAAAGCTGATCTCTTCTTCTTCACGGAATTTAAGATGAGTTCTTGATATGCACGATCAATGATTACAAATCCCCTCTCCCTGCCTATATAA